ATCTTCTTGATAAAATTCAAAAAAGCAAACCATCATCACCTGGAATGTACACTGTAAAAAGCGATTCTGTGTTTTAGTCAGTTGAACTAGTATGGTCATGTTGAGTGAACTGACCGGCCATTACAACTTAACAAAATGAGTTTTAAGAACTTCAACTTGAATATGAACATTAAAACTTAAAATCGCTTGTTTGAACAATGAAAAAAAGGGTTTCCAATCAACTTTTGTATACGACGCATGCGCCGAAGCTCTGACGTCAGCACTGGTTCAACTTTGAATCGAAGACGAAGGACGGCCATTTCGGAAAACAGGGATGCCCGGCAGTCAAGTTCTACAAACTACAAATACAGCTTCAAATTGTTTAATTTTATGAAGGTCATCCACTACACTACATAGAAGCTTACATACAGTGCTGAAGTAAGTAACTTAACATTGGCTTTATCTAACTTACTTTTTTCGCTAGCTAGCAGGCTAACGCTAGCGCTTAGCTGAAAGCTATGGAAATTAAATGTTGACTACGTGGTCATATGTGCCAGATGGCCATCGTGAGCTGAAGTTAGTTAACCTAGCTAGGCTAATGACATTTATTTATAGGTTATCAGCTGAAAGTTATCACATTTTGTCGCCTCAGCTACTTGCTTTTAGGGTTAAAGTGTGTAGCTAAGTATTAGGTTAAAATGCAATGGTGACCGGCACACTAAACTCTAGAGTCTGTTAAGGTATCTTGTTGAGTATGCCTCAAATTGGCGGTATTTGTTGCTATTGTGCACAGAGCTCAGCAAGCTAACGTTAACTAAGTTAGCTAACAGCTAACCTAGTTAGTTGCTAGTTAGCTAACTTGGATATCAGTTGATGGCTAAAAAGGAAGCTTATATAAGTTGAATATAGTCCAAGCTGAGTTTACATATAGCTTTATGGAATTTCATATTCATTTATTTTTTTACTAAATGTTTTCCGTTGTGTGCTGATAACCTAACGTCAAAGGTAACTAGATAGGGTAGCTAGGTTAAGTTAGCTAACTAGCTAGTGATTAGCTGTGAGTTGCAGTGTGGAGGCGCGGGTCGCGAGGAAGCCGCATGAGTTCCTAACGTATTTTGTGTCTTTCACGAGAGCTGACCTAAATGAAGGGCATGTCGAATCATAAATGAGAACCGCACTGTTTGCGCTTGGAAAAAGCCTCTGTGTTAGCAGTGTGGCATTCTTTTACCAGTCAAAGGCGAATGAACTGCGGTTATGCTTTCTGCATCGTATTGCAGTTCTGCTTTCCGTACGACTGTTTTCGCGAGCTGCATGCCGCTAGACGTACAAAATGCACCTTTTTGTCACTTGTAACTAGTAACCGTCGAAGAACTAAACTAGATGTTTAGTGACGCACAGCGTACATGAGGTTAACCGTAGGCGAGCCACAAATACACTAAGTGAGCAAAACTTAAATATACGGGGCTGTTCGTTGCTAATGTCTAAGTATTAAACGAGTGGTAACGCTAAGTGACCCAAATGTCACTGATGAAAATTTGCCCTGGTGAATGAACTGCATCTAAATGTAGTTATTAGACTGTTGTTTGACTGTTGTTTGGCTTGCTTGAGTTGTTTACCTGACATATTTGTGATCAACTTTTGTCTTTCAAGCCATCAAGCTACAGGCAGTGAACTGATTCACGTCTTGTTGGGCCTATCCCTGCTGGTGTTAATTGCTGCAATACCATGTGCAGTTGGGGTGGTGTGGGACTGAAAGGTAAGCCAGTACAAGCTTAAACTGACCACTTAAATGAATATTTGATTTTAAATGTTTGTAGGTGTTTGAGTTTGAATGATGTCATTCCTAATCCAAAGCTTCCAGTATAAGATCATTTTAAGTGAAGTATAATTATTAATTTAATTATTAGGTCTACTTGAATAACAATGCACATTAATCACACACCACAGGCTGTCTTTGACAATAATATTAGTTTTTTAATTCCATTGTTTATTCCACAGAAGTTTACATTTTAATGAGTGTACATTTTAACTTTGATAGAATACATTAAAACATTTTGTATGTATCATTATATGAGATGAGAAAAAAAGAATTAAACCGTCTCTGGATGCTCTCTGATTTCATAAGTGTATGAAATTTATTTATTTATTTTTTTCTTTCTTTAAAAGGATTACATTGGTGCATATTTCTCCAGTCTCCTTGAAGTTTGAGCAGTGTGGGGCCCTTGCCCCCAGCCAATGAGGTGGTGTTGCAAAGTCTGCTCTTTCGTCACCCAACCAGCGCACTCTCATAATTCACTACAAACTAAAACACTGCTATCACGCAAGTAATTGTCCCCTACCCTGCATCTATGAAGACTGTGTGTGCTCATTTAGAACTGAACTTGCGCTGAAGAAACATTTGACTACAGACCATAGACAGTCTGGTCAGGTCTGCACTGCAACCTCAAAGCTGAACTGTGATCTGTGCAATTATTCTGAGACCTGCAGTATTACACAGTATTTTGCACACCTAAACACTCATATCAGAAATAAGGAGACTGTAAAATGTCCCTTTAAAAATTGCAGCTTTCAGTCCAGTGTTTATAGTACTTTCCATGCCCATAAGAGTAAAAGCCATCGTCTGTGTACCATAGAGAATTTTTGTGGGGACATCTACCAGCTTTGCACTCCTGGTGTCTCAAATTCTGAAAGTTCAACTTTTGAGGCACATTTGGATCATGTGGACTTTTCTGCATCGGATTGTGATTTACAATATGATGAAGACCTGCATGAATTGCTTCAACACAAATTAGCTTCCTTGTTTCTTCGGATGCAAACAGTTCTTCATGTGTCTAAGGCAACAACTCAAGAAATTGTAAATGAACTCTGGAATATCTGTTCAATTGCTGAAGAGTTCACACCAAAATTAATTGAAAGCATATTGATTAAGCACAACTGTACAGTAAATAATTCCATCACCACTGCCATAACAGAGATAGTCAGAAAAGCAAATCCCCTGTTATCACTGTCAAAGAACGGTCCTTTTGGTTCAGAATACAGAAGAACCACCTTTTACAAGGCAAATTTTAAAGTGATTGAGCCTGTTGAATATGTTTTAGATGCATCTTCCAAAAGAAAATATGTTTATGTTCCGATTTTGAAAATTTTGTCAGAACTGTTAAATCGTAATGATGTTCTAGATAAAATCTTGCAGACAGAAGATACAGAAGCTTTTGGACATTTGACTCATTTTAAGACATACAGAGATGGATTATATCGCAAAGAGAATCAGTTGCTGTCTTCAGATAGTTTAAGCATAGCTCTGGGATTATACATAGATGACTTTGAAATTTGTAACCCATTAGGAACTTCAAGAAAGAAGCACAAGGTCTGTGCAGTTTATTGGGTGATTTCAAATTTACCAATACAGTATAGGTCCTCTGTGCAGTCCATCTATTTGGCTTGTCTCTGTTACAGCAGTGATGTGAAAAAGTATGGCTATGATTCCATTCTTCAGCCGTTGGTGAAAGACGTAGAAGTACTTGAGCAGCAAGGTTTGTACATTCAGAAATTGGGAGCAAATATTAAAGGTACTGTACTTTGTGTCTGCGGACAATTTGGGAGCCCACTCACTTGCTGGTTTTCAAGAAAGCTTTAATGTTGATAAATTCTGTAGATTTTGTTTAGCTAGCCGCACGGACATAAACGTTCATGAAGTAAGAGAGGGACATTTCCCACTCCGAACAGTTGAAGCTCATGAGCACATCCTGTTGGAATTGAAAAAGAGTACACATTTGCTTCCACTGGATGGTGTAAAAAGAGACTGTGTTCTTAATAGACTTTCTCATTTCCACGCAATACGTGGATTTCCTCCAGATTTTATGCATGACCTTCTGGAAGGCGTAATACTAAATGAGTTGAGCTTATGTCTGAAGTCTTTGATTTCCAAGAATTATTTTACATTAGATCATCTCAATGCAATCATCCATTCCTTTCCTTACAAGTTACTTGATAAAACAAACAGACCACAACAAATTCCAAAATCATTTGCATTGAAAGGTTCCATTGGTGGTAACTGCCATGAGAACTGGACTTTGTTGCGATTACTGCCACTAATGATTGGTGACAAAATACCTGAGAAAGAGAAAACATGGCAAATTTTATTAGACTTGAAAGACATTGTTGAACTCCTGGCTACTTCGCAGTTTTCAAATGAGACCTTGTGCTACCTAGAGTCCAAAATCTCAGACCATAGATCTTTGTTAAAAGAAGTTTTTCCAGATTTCCACTTGCTGCCCAAGCATCACTTCTTAGAACACTACCCCGAAGTTATTCGTAGATTTGGACCACTGATTGATTTCTGGACTATTCGTTTTGAAGCGAAACACAGCTTTTTTAAAAGAGTAGTGCATGATGTTAAGAATTTCAAAAATATCTTGCTAACTCTTGCTACAAAACACCAACTTTCATTAGCTTACTATTTAGACCTGCCAAGTCTTTTCAGACCTGACCTGGAGGTAGGGCATGTTGCTGTTGTTTCACCTGAGACACTAGAGCACTCCATAAAGAAGGCTATAGAGCTCAAATATGCTAGCATTACCACTATATCTCTTGCAACTCATGCATGTCTCCATGGCACCAAGTATTCAGAAGGAATGTTTTTGTCTGTGGGACACACCAGTGGCCTGCCTGACTTTGGCAAGTTAGTGAAAATAATCATTGTGTCAAACAGTGTTTCGTTCATCATTGAACCCTTCACGGCATGGTACATAGAGCATTTGCGGAGTTATGAACTGATGAAAAACCACGCATCTGAGCTAAAGATTGTGGAACCACATGAGCTAAATGGATATCATCCGCTGTACCCATACATTCGAGCAGGCAAAGTAATGGTGACACCAAAAACCTTCCTGCTTCATTAAGGTATAATTGTAGGGCTTAAAAAATAATTATTTATAATATTTACTTGCATTACAATATGTTCAAAAATCCAGTTTTGTTTTCACACTATTCAAAGGAACCTTTTTTTTTGTTGTTTTTGTTTTTAAAAAGGGCTGTTTATTTTGCCTATTATTTTTTCATTTGTAGTGAACTGCTCATCTACAATGTATTATACATTCAGTTGTGTTGTTTTCTACATTTTTAAATTGTTTTTGGTCCTCTCTGAACTTTTATTAACAGCCCTGGAAGCTCCAGTCTACAAACAAGAAGCTTTTTCGTGTGATCATCTCGCAACAGGACATTCATAAAATTAAGCTTGATTCTGTTCCTGAGTCAGTAGATGGCCTCAAACTAGTGCTAAAAAGCAAACTGCAGCTAAAAGAGTCCTTTGATCTTCAGTATGAAGATGAAGACTTTCATGACTTTTGCAACCTTACACATATAGCTGATCTGCCTGAGGAGAAAGTGACGTTGAGGGTCCTTTTCAATCCATCTGCAGATACTTTTTCAGACTCAAGTTTAGACACTGCAAGCTTATCTGTCTCCTCTCCGTCTACATCATCTTCAGCAAGCAAACATTCACAGTCATCTTCAGGTCGTTCACAGCTGTGGCCAGCTTGCTTTACTATTCCCACCTTCTCGTATGATGTTGAGCTGAGGCTGAGACAGGGCAATGAGGCTCATAGAAAAGATGGTGCGTTGTTGACCATTTCTAGAGACATTAAGTCTGAAATTCTAGAAAAACTTGCTGAGGCAATATATTCATACAAAGCCTATCCTGGGAATGAGGAATTTGAAAGTGTAGCGATTGCTCTTGTTGAAAAACACCCTTGTCTAAAAGAGCCAGGCTCCGCATCTGGGTGGTATGGGTGGAAACTAAGTCTAAAATTTAAGATGGGGAACTATAGACAAAAGTTAAGGGATGCAGGTTGTCAAGAACTGAAAGTGAATTCAGAGAAGAGAGGTCCTGGCGAGGCCAGAGGAAAGTGAAACCAAGTGAAGAAGCCTAGACGGTCTGAAACAAACTTTCTTCCAGATCTCCCACAGGGAAAAGACCGGAAAAGTCTGGAAGAGGAACGAGAGCAAATCGTTCAAGAAATGAAGAAAAGGAACCCTGACTTTGCTTTTGTAGATGCAAGAATGAGCAGCACATATTCTTTGAGAAGACAGGAAATTGTTGAAGATGAGCCTCCAGTGTCGGAAGTGAAAGTCAGATGGCCGGCACTTTTCACTGAGAGACAGGTTCCTTTTTTTGTTTATTATTACTTTAAATATAAATGCTTGGATTGTAAAGAAATACTGTAGTATAAGTGGGTGATATGACAAAAATGTAATATAATACAGAACTTTTTACGATTTACAGTAGTTGACAATATTTTTTCCTCCCATCTGAAAACTCTCAACAGTAGTGTCACATTTTTTTAAAAATACTATCCAGAACTATTCAACATTTTATACACTGCGTTATGTTAATCCAGTTAAGTAGAACTGATTATGCTCTCTCTACAATTAAATATGCTGTCTGGAAGTGTATTTTAAGTACTGATAACATCCACGACACATTCTGTAATGTAATTAATGTGATCTCATATTTCATGTAATGTGATCTCATATTTCATGTAGATCAGCATGGAATTCACCAGGCTTGTGTCGATGGACCTTAGCATGTCCTTTTATGGGGGTCTTGACTCCCATCTCCTGAAGCTTCTTCAGTTGTACCGGTCAAAACGTTTTGAAGGGATGACAGAAATGACTGCCATACTGGAGAGCCTTGACAAGGATGTAAGTTAATGTTTATTTTCAAACAGCTTTTTAATAGAACAAATGTCAGTTTTATTGTATGTCCTGCAGAAGCTGTGATTTACAAACAATATGGTGCAGGATCCAATAACTTGACAGTTGATCTAAGCTATATATATTAGATAGATAGATAGATAGATAGATAGATATTAGATAGATAGATTGTTTTTATGCGGTTTTTGCTTTGGTAGGCATCAAACCAAAGGAAGAGGGCAGCGGTGCTGCAGGCTCTGCCTTGGTACATGAGAGAGAATCCTGCTAAATTCATGAAGATATGTGAGGTATGCTAAAACTACAGGAACAGTTCAAACAAATTTATACTAAAAATGAGGTACTATTTATGAAGCTGTCTTTTGGAGTATTGTGTGTGCAAGCACCTTCTAAAACCTAAGTCCGCAGTTTATGTTTTTGTTTTTATAAAGCCCACTAATTGTGAGGAGGATGTCATCAAAAGAATGACTATTGGAATCCTTGCCATTGTAGAGGATGTGAAGGAGCCACTCCCAGTGATCTACAGTGATGTGGCCCTGGTGATCGAAGAGCAAGTTGTCCTTTGTAATCTTGGTGATGTACCAAATGCTTTTATGAACTTGATGGGGCTGCTCTATGTATTGAACATGAACTACCCCAAAGAACTCAAATATACCTTTGAGGTGATTCAGCGTCTGTTCATGGGCATTGGAGTAGATTCCTGCACTGCAAGAGTCCACACACTGAAGAATAAATTACTGAGTTAAAGAGAGAATTTTTTGTGGGTGTAATGTGTAGTTCTCTACAGCCTTAACCTTTAATGCTTTGTTTTAAATTATTTTATTGATTTTTCTTGGTCCATTATGTAAAAAATTGTTTTCCAAGACTGCAAAATCAGTCTTCTTGTCCTCCAACTATTTTTGCAGAATATGGTGTATTTATTCTTAGTGCTTTTGTCTAAAACAAGTTCCCCAAATACTACATTGTTGATCATTGAAATTGGTTTAACATGGTCTGTGCATGTGCAATGCTCTCCCACATCCAACAGTAACAATGCGCTCCCGCGTCCGACAGTGCACTGTTGCTGTCGGACGCGGGAGCGCATTGTTACTGTTGGATGTGGGAGAGATGTCTGACAGTAACTATGCTTTATCATCTATCAGTAACAGATCGATCTTCTGTCCTTAAGTAATGTTGTCCTGTAAATTCTACAGTAATTCCCCATCCAGTATTGTTTCCTAAATACTAAATTCTTCATAATGTGAAATGTGATAATGTAATTTTTTTTTTTTTTCCTTCTGTGCATACTTTTGCACACGTTAATAAAATACTTGGTTATCATTAGCTTTGTGAGCTTTTGGTTATTTGAGTCTGGCAATGGTTGCTTAATTTAATAACAGCACTTTTTTGAACCATTAAGAAACGTCAGTGAGAGGAAATTTAAAAATGTTTAAGAGGAGTGTTGTGTTTTGTTGTTTCAACCTGGCAAGCTTGAACTGTTCTGAAACTGAATTGCTGTTGTATATTTGTGTTCCAAACCAGACCACAGTCTGTATCTTCAATTTAGTAGCCACACCAAACTGTATTTGTGTCAACATTTAAGGTTAAATCATCAGATTTATCACTAGTGACAAAGGCATGTTACCTATTTTCTGGCACTTGCTCTTCAGTTCACACTAGCACATTGCTATTACCTTGCAGGGTTGGGTGCATGGATGCAATGGCCAAAGATCCTTACTTTCAAAATTTTGTTCAGAAAGTAGTTTTCTTTTTTTCTGTGTTGTAGTTAGGGATCGTACCACCATTCTGTGTTTTCACACTTTTATCTGTTTCAGCCAGTTAATGTGAGCTCAAAAGGTATATGGTGTGGTGTGGTGTGATGTGATGACATTCTTGAACGCACACTGTCAATCAACAGGAACTGTACTTGTACTGTTTAAGTGTGGATTACTGTCAGTGGCACTGGTGTGTTCTATGGTAGGCTTCTGAGCTTTCCACATTATTGGTCTGAATGGAAATAGTGTGAATTATTAATAAAAAAAAAAAAAGGCATACCAAACAAAATGTATTCCTCATTTGTCATTTCAGAGTAAACTTTTAGTTGGCTGATTTGAACTATGTTTAGTTGATTTAGATCATGACTTGAAAAATATTTTATGAACTTAATTAAACCTATACAACTTAAAATTTTAATTTTACTTAAATTGAGAAAATGAGCCATATCATGTTAAATGAACTTACTGCATGGTTGTCAAAACTGAAAAAAATAAGTTCTACCAATTATGTTTAGAGTTGTCTGAACTAAATTCTTTAAGCTGACAATACTTTAAATAAACAGTTGAGTAAATTAACAGATTGTTGTGTAAACAAAGCTTAGTTAAGTTGTATAAACTTAACATGTTATATCTTTACAACTTAACTGAGTCAAAGCAAAAAGATTACTTGACTAAGTTAAGTTGAGTGAACAAATATTTTTTTACAGTGTACATGTCTCATGAAGATGGGACGTATTTCAAAGAAAATCAGTTACTGTCAACAGCAGGAGAGCTGAAATTATCACTGATTTTGTATGTGGATGACCTTGAACTAGCGAATCCTACAAGCTTTGTGCAGTGTATTGGTTGCTTGCCAATATACCCAGTGAGTATAGGTCCAGCCTACATGTCATACAGCTAGCTCTGCTATGCAAAGCATCTGATGTGCAGATGTGTGGTTATGGAAGTGTTATGTCACCTTTATTGAAGGATTTGCACACTCTTGAGCAGGATGGCATTTTCATTGAAAGTCTTGGTCAGTGTATCAGGGGCACTGTGTTGTGTGTGGCAGCTGACAATCTGGCTGCTCATGGTCTTGCAGGCTTTGTGCAGTCTTTTCGAGGAAACTATGTTTGCAGATGCTGTTGCTGTACTTCAGACCAAATACAGGACAGTGAAGTATCTGAAGGAGAGTTTAGCATGAGAGAAAAGGCCTGCCATGATCTTCATGTGCAAAATGTTGTACATGGAGAATATGTAACCCATTTTGGTGTTACAGGTGAGTGTGCTCTCAGCAAGGCATTGCAGCATTTTCACCCCATTACTGGGTTCCCTCCATACATACTGCATGATCTGTTTGAGGGTATCATGCCTGTTGAGTTGGCCTTGTGCATCCATAAAATGGTTCAACTGAAGTATTTCACTCTTGACTATCTAAACATTAAAATTCGAACATTTCCATATCAGCACTCTGATAAGTTTGATAAACAACAACAAATCCCAAAGAATTTTGCAGCCAAACTAAGCATTGGTGGGAATGGACATGAAAATTCTACTTTGCTGGGGTTATTACCACTTATGGTAGGAAGTAAAGTCCCTGAAGGAGATGAAGCATGGGGTGTATTGATGGACCTTAAAGAAATTGTGCAGCTAGTGTTGTCTCCGTCTTTCACAGAGGAATCCATCCAGTACATGCAAACTAAAATAACTGATCACAGACAGGGTCTTAAAGCAGTGTTTCCAGAGTTTAAGCTCAGACCCAAGCATCATTATGTTGAGCACTACCCAGAACTGACCAAGTGTTTTGGGCCTCTGGTTCACCTATGGACCATGAGGTTCGAGGGGAAACACTGCTTTTTTAAAAGGGTGATACATGACACACACAATTTCAAGAACGTCTTGAAAAGTCTTGCAACCAGGCATCAATACATGATGGTGTATCACCTCAATGCACCATTATATTTCAGACCCCACATACAAGCCTCAAGAGTTACCTCTGTCCAAGTTTCTACTACTACGAGTGCTGGTACAGTGAGCATCTAAGATCATTTGAGTTAACATCCTCAGACAACTTCTCTATGCTTCAGCCTCCAGACTTAAATGATACAGTAAGTCTCACAGCATACACTATCGATAGGCATTTGCTGTTAACTCAGAAAAGATTTATTTTGATTAGAGACTTGGAGGATTAAAGGCAGAAATGTAGACCTATAGGCTTTGTTCACATTACAAGTCTGAAGTGACTTGAATACGACCAGGGCAAATCCGATCTTTTCAAATCAGATTTGAGTCACTTTCGTGTGTGGTCCTAGATTGGATAATTATCCGATTTGTGCCTAGGTGACATGAATGAGAACAGTCATATTGGGTTTCATGTGCCTTTTTGCCTGTACACATGCGCTTAGTGCTCTGCAGCAGTGCCAACAATAGCTGAAGTACGTTATCAGGTCACTGTCTCAACCTGATCATGTGCATTTCATGAGCTGTTGCTGTCCTCACAAAGCAAAATGCGTAACGCATTAGTAGCTCATGTATGCATCACATTTTGCTCGGGAGGACAGCAAACAGCTCATCAATTGTACATGATCAGGTCAAGATGGCTTGTTTTGCTGTTTAAGCACAGCACTAAATCAATTCACAAATGTGATGTTTTTTGTTTGTCATTCATAAAAGAATCACTGCCATTTCGGAGGACAGATTCACATTAGAAACACATACAGGTCTTTTACAGTTATGAATGTGAAGTGTGAAAAAAAAAGAATTGATCAGTGAGGCTTGTAATGTGAACATAGCTATTAGTGATGTAACAGAGCACAAAACTCGTTTTTTGAGTCACGGAACGGATCATTTTTCAGATCAGCAAAAAAGATAAAAGGGAGACGAATGGGAGACAGTAATTTTAGCTTTCAGTTTGAAAGTATTTTGTGTTGCTGTTTAGTTTGTAATAGTGACTATTTTAACATGGTCTGTTTTATGTTGAGGACTTGTATTTTGACACGTGGCACAGTGTTTACAAACCGTAGGTTCATACTTGGTGAGGGAAATGTTGCATATGAGAGAACAGGGAAGGCTGTCAAGTTATCTAGGGGACAAAAGCATGACATCCTTGAGACCCTTGCAGGCAAAATACATAGCTTCAAAGCATACCCCAATGATAAGGAAGTTTCAATGGTAGCAGAAGCCCTTGTCACTAAGCATCCCTGTCTAAAAGAGCTAGGATCCCAGACAAGATGGTATGGTTGGAAAAATAGTCTCAAGTTTAAGTTGGGGAACTTTCGCAGTAAGTTGAGTCGGGCTGGGTTTCAGGAGATGTGACGCAAAGAGGTCATCATTGAAGACCTACCAGTTGGTGATATTCTGGAATGCTGGCCTTCCCTCAAAATAGAGTCACAGGTAAAAAATCTTTTCCTTATTACACTTATTTGATCAGATATATTATTCTTTTGTATCCGTAGGGGAGCCCCATGGATACCACAATCCATGGATAGGGAGGGCCTACTGTGCTTTTTAATTCCTTTGTGTCTCTGTGTCAGTGATAACTTTGTCAAGTTTACTTAGGTTTACATCATATGAGTTAGGGTAGTGTAAGGAATCTGCATGTTTTCCACCAAATCTGATCATCATAGTTCAAAAAGTTTTGTTTCACAGTATGTATTTTTTTGTTTCTACAGGGCCACATACACTATACACATATAATCTGACTTAAACGTTCTTTTGTATTTGTGCAGATTTGTGCCGAGTTTCACAGAATTACAAACATCAACCTGAAGAACCACTTCTATGCTGCGTTGGACCGACATGCCCCCGTCTTCAGAGCTTGTTCAGGATGAAAGCAAGTCATGCAGGGAAAGTGTCCGAAGTTCTGGGACAGCTCTTTAGGATGTATGATCTCCAGGTGAGTTGGTTGCACTTTCTGATGCCTGATAAATATACTACAGTGGATTTTGGATTACCTTTGGTGGAATTCCATTCATAAAGACATGTTAGGGGGCCCCGAGTGGCTCAGCAAGCTAAGGCACTGACGGTATTATCTGAGGGTCACCAGTTCAAGTACCAAATCATGCTGGCTTTCCATTACCAGCCTGGGCTTGAGGGAGCACAGTTGGCCTCGTTCTCTCTGGGTGGGTAGATGGTGCTCTCTCTCTACACCACGACTAGTGTGTTGGTCTTTGGCACAAGGCGTTACAGTTTGGAAAAAGGTGGGGGGAT